CAATCCCCCCCAAAAAAATAGTTTATGTTTTCATTTTGGAATATTTCTATTATCACCTATTGAACCTGTCTAGAAGTTATTCTACATATCATTTTCATTATTGTTGTCATTTTCATTATTATTGTCTTCCCATGATTAGACAGTCCAAGTGAACTTACAAAGACTGCCACCACCTGTACAAATACTCCTCTCCCATTTCTCCTCTACCACTACTATCTCCCTTAGCTTCCCTTCCTCCTCTCCTACCACTTCCCTTCCTCCTCTCCTACCACCTGGGTCATCCAGAACTTAACACACTTAGAGAAACTATTCAACCAAGGAGAATTAGGGATGCTATTGTGATTCTTCTCACATATGATTATGTATGCTGGGTTGAATCCACCCTTTATGTACTATACAGTGATCACCCAAGAGTGAGCAAACAACCCCAATCCTGGAAGAATCGTTAAGAGGTTGTCCACAAAAACCATTTGCTTGTAAGTAATAAAGCCTGTGTATTATCCAGAAAGTTATTTCTGTTACCTTTTGGATGATTAGATAATGAAATATGCAAACATATTTGAGATATCCAGGATAAGCTACCGACTGCCAACTACAATGAAATCCATGTACTAGCCTGCCACATACCTATAATCCCAGCTACTTGGAGAGAGAAATAGGATGATCCTAAATTTGAGGCTAGCTGAACAAAGTTAACAAGACCCTATCTCCAAAACAAAATACAAATAGAAGAGATAGGCGTTTGTGTAGCATGTTTCATGCCCTGATTTCAATCCTAGTACCTCAGAGAGAAAAAAAACGTCCATAGATCCTAACGTGAATAAACTTACACTTGAAAAAAATAATGAGCGAGTTTTCCACCAACAACTGACTTAAGAAGAATATATTCTGGGTAGAACATTTGTATCCAGAGAAAATGGTAATTATTTTTCAGGTTCACTTGCTGAGTCAGTTATATAAATTTATCATTATGATTTATCATGCCAAAGAAGAAATATGATTTATCTGAAGAGGGCCCCCTTTATGTGATTTAAGTTTATACTACGAGTGAAAGCAAGAAGGAAGGCAGCCAGTGAATTAGAATACTCTCTCAAATATGTTCTAACACAGCATGCTGCTAACTAAAGCAAATGTGGTCCTTTTATACTTGAGTTATCCAATATTTGCTTAAATATTTAATAAATTTTCTAGAATAGACTTTAGACTTAATATTGTTGAACCTTAAAACAAAAGGGGAAATATTTGTGTTTCTGTTTTTGGTTCCTATGAAAAACTAGAAGCAGTTGAATATAAAACAGCATTTTAATTTTTTATACAGTTTAATGTTTATAAGGCAAGAAATAATAAAGTGCATATATTACTTGCCTGATTTACTTCAGTCCCAGTTTTCCAGCATTAAAAAGTAATGTTTCTATGATCATGTTTTATTATAATAATAAACCAGACGCAAAAGCTTATCAGCTATAATACACTCAGCCAGTAAGTAACCTTTCCCTTTATCATTTCAGACATCTCAATATTCTACTGTTTTTAGCTATTTTTCTTATGTGGTAATAATGTTGAAAGTTGAAAAGCAGGATAATATAAATTACATATATTACTTTTGTCTGTGTCAAATTTATATTTTCTGGGGTTTTTGTTTGTTTTTTGACGGTCGTGGGGCCTGAATTCTGGGCCTTGGCACTAACCCTCAGCTATTCAGCTCAAGGATAGCGCTCTACCACTTGAGCCACAGCGGCACTTCCAGCTTTTTCTGCTTATGTGGGGCTAAGGAATCGAACCCAGGGCCTCAAGCATGCAAGGCAAGCACTCTACCACTGGGCCACCTTCCCAGCCCCTATTTTCTGTGTGTGTGTGTGTGTGTGTGTGTGTGTGTGTGTTTTAATACCAAATATATTCAAATTTTAAGCACTGTAAGTAGCAATGTTAAGGAAACCTACTGAAAAAAAGTTTTCTGTGTTCCTGAGCAACCACCTTTGCAATTTTTTTCTTGATTTTTCTGAAGATTTTCAATAAAATAAGCTGGTTGTTTGGGACACAGTTCAATGTATTGGAATTGCATAACCACCCTCTTTTCTTAAAGGCTGATAGTTCTGGCAATAGATTTAAAAGCTAAGACAGAGCAAGCATGACAGGTCATTTGAGAACCATGAATTGTTAACTCCCTACTCATTTTGTCAAAAGACACTGAATTATGTTTTTTTTTAAAAAAATACCTAGCTTTAAAGAATCTATGAGAAGAAAAAATATATCTGGGTTAAAGTAACCTACATTGTGCTCAAAACAAAATTAACTAGTTTGGATTTTTTTCCCTTGGTACTAGATTTAAATGTAGAGCCTTGTGCATGCTAGGTAGGCACTGTACCACTTAAGCCACACCTTCAGCCATTTCTGCTTCAGTTATTTCTTGAATAGAGACTCTTATTTGTATCTGATCCATCTCCTATTTTACTTCTTTCCCAGCTGGAGTGACACACACACCATCAGGGCCAGCTATTTATTGATTGAGATGGAGTCTCATCAGCTTTTTGTCCAGGCTGGCCTCACACTGTCATTCTCTTTTGCTCTGCCTCCTAAGTAGTTGAAATTAAAGGCAGGGACCACCATATGTGCTAGATTAACTGAAGTTTTCAATCTATTGCATCCCGGAGAAGATACACCTACTATATTTTGGCTTACCTGTTGCCACACTCATTTTCATCTTGGCAATAAAATCTTTATCAAATCTTATTAGCAGGCATGCATAGAATACACATATACATATAACCTATTCCTGCCTCTTCTGAAGTTTAGTCTCGAGTAATCTACAGAGGGAGTAATAAGCTTATAGTGGAGCTGGGAAGGTGGCTCAGTGGTAGAGTGCTTGCCTTGCATGCATGAGGCCCTGGGTTTGATTCCTCAGCCCCACATAATCAGAAAAAGCCGGAAGTGGCTCTGTGGCTCAAGTGGTAGAATGCTAGTCTTGGACTGAATTAAAGTTAAAGAAAATATGTTTGAGCTGGGCATTAGTGGCTCAGCCTACTCAGCAGGCTGAGATCTGAAGATCATGGTTCAAAGCCAGCTGAGGCAGGGGAAATCCATGGAACTCTTACCTACAACAGAAAACCGGAAGTAGAGCTATGGCTCAATGTGATAGAGCACTAGCCTTGCGCAAAATAGCTCAAGGACCTTACTCAGGCCTTGAGTTCAAGCCCTACAACCTACAAAACAAAAAACAAAAAAAAAGGAAGTCTGGATGTCTGTTTGTTGATGTAGTTTTCAGCGAGCGTTTAAATGCTAACTGTGAGGCTACTATCCACTTGGGTGTTTGTATTGAAGGAGTTAAAATACAGACAAAGTTTGTTAGAGTCTTATGCTGTTGATGATACACTGCTCTTGATATTGGACATTAACTGGGTTGGCTTTAATAGTAAAATTTCTGCTTTTTCCTCCCAATAATTCTCAAGAATTTAATGTTAATAATATGGACCTAACCAGAAATGATCTCTGCCTCTTTTTATAATTATAAATCTTGCAGTAGAGAGGCAAAGTATGATCATATATTTGTGAATACAATTTAGTTAAATAGTCACATTTTGCATATGAGTGGACACTGCAAATACTTGTATGCATTAAATTGGACAGCACTTAAAGTGATTTAATAATTGATCCTATTGCTCCTGCAAATAAGCAAACCAAAATCTCATTTTTGTAGTTGCTAAAATATGTTGGATAATGATCCATTCATGTTTAATATTGCTATTAAATTTGAAAGTTCACATTTTTATTGATAAACATTTCCTGAAATGCAGTCTAGGAGGACAGATTGTTAAATTTAAGTACTTTATAAATGAGAATTGTAGATAGTGATTCAATTAGAGGCGGTGCTGTGTGAGGAGCCATCTACCAACTTACCTGCATTTTGTCAAATACTCCGCAGTGAATTTCGTATTTCACTTTTATGTGCAACCAAATTGCACACAATTTTAGGAGAAAATTAGCATGGTAACAGAGTAATGACCATGGTAAATATTGTGCTTCTCCTTGTTGACTTAAATTACATACACAGACTATTTCAGGAAAAAATTATTTCTTAGTCTGACTTAATATGTTGAAATGTTTTATCCATAGAATTTATGTGCAGCAGAAAAACTTAAATCTTTCATAAGCCTCTCTCTCTCTTTCTTTCTCTTTCTCTCTGTCACACACACATACACACACACACACACACACACACACACACACACACAGATATATTGTGTGGTCCAAACAGTTTGAAGTCTAAATTACTTTGATTCTTTTGGAAGCCCTAAAATTCTCATTAATACTTCCATCTGCACAGGCAGATACAACTCTTTCCTTCTTGAGTGATTTGTCTCTAAAATGCCAGGGAAAATACTTGAGAGAAATTAATTCATACCTAATAAACAGTGTTCTAAAATCCACCTTAAAATAACATAGCAAGCTAAAATGCATTTTTGTAGTGGAAATGTTGTCATATTTAACTGTTACACAAAAGTCCCAGTGTCCTCTCTGCTAATTGCCCTCTGAATTGATTGGAATGTCTGATTTTTCTGAGTTTTATTTTGTATCAATGGTGGACTTTGTGTCTCATTTTCTTTTCCCATTAAGATTCCAGAAGTTTATTTCATTAGAGATCCCTATACATTCCTCTTCACAAAGGACTTTATTAAGGTATATGTTCTGTATTTAGTGCTAGAAGTGTTCCTTGGTCTTTAGCTGCATGCATGAAATCACAGCTTAGCATTTCCACATTTAACCCCAGCTTCTGGTAATAAGAACAGTGATGTGGTTATCTGAAGCATGTTTGGAAGAAGAAGCCAACCTTGTCTACAAAATACTAACACTTGAATGGTTCTGCACCCTGGGAAAAGAACACCCGGTGAATTTTCTGGACTTTTTTTTCATGGCTGACTTGGGATCCACTTGCATTGTCAAGAGTGTGTTGACCTCTCTCTTTGATGCATATTGATTATGACAGTCGCCCTCCTTCCCTGCAGGCCATGGAAGCGCAGATACAGAACTTTGGACAGACGCCATCTCAGTTGCTTATTGAGCCACATCCGCCTCGGAGCTCTGCCATGCACCTGGTAAGACATCAGCATGTTAAGGTTTTTTTTCCCTTAATACCTGAGCTTAGAGCAAATTAAATTGTGATTTTAGCAGCATTTTTTAAGTCATCTCAACTTATTCATTTAACTCTTCAGGCCAAAGGATGTATGGATACCCCAGGGAGAAGCAGGAAAGAAAGTACAATTCTTACCATGAAGTCTAAAACTAGCCCAATCTTGGATTCAAAAAATAACCATAGAGTATGCCTCTATGTAAAGTCATTCATACACAAGCAAGCAAACAAACACATGCTGACATTAAAATTAAATTAGATTTGTAAATTACAATGTAAGTTTAGACACAATATGATATTGCCAAATTTAATTTGCGGGGGGGCAGTATGGAGTAAGGAAAGTAATTCATTTTAAGCAGAGGGGAAAAAAATAAACGTATTTTATGTCCCCTGTAGAGAACCTGTAAAATAAAGTAGATAAAAGTTAGGACTCCTGAGCTAGACAGGGGCTAAACACCATCCCTGCTACTGAGTAGCTAACTCCTGCAAGGTACTCAACATCCCAACATCTGTAATTTAGGAGTAAAACTAGTTGCTATCACTGAGAATCTAATAACTCAATCCTGCATTAGCCATTGGATTGTAAGTTCTCTATAAATATTAGCTGGCATCCTCATCAGTAGCCTTTCATGTTAAACTTTTTTTCCCAATACAAGGGAAAAAGCATATTATTTTTATTTTTATCCAAAGGTAAAGTCTATTTTATAACAAATCAGCTGATAAATTTACTATCTGCTATAAACATTTACTTCTTTATTGTTTGTATTTTGCAATTTATTTTTATTATCTTTAAATAGTTCTACTGAGTACAGTGCACCTGATCAAGCTCACACCTTCCATATTGTCCTCTTAGACCCCCATTTACCTCAACCTCATCCATCCCCTCAAAATACATAAAAATAAAAATTTTCTGAGAAAAACATCTTTTAAACTGAGATTTCTTTGCTAGCTTTTTGGTTAAAATGTTTAAAGGTAAAAATACTTCCCAAATGCATTCAGCTTATCAACATCAAAGCACCAAGTCCCTGGTAATGGAATAAACAGCTCTGAAATGTGCCCCAAATTTACATATTCTTTCCTGAAAAACATTATTCATGTAGTTATGTATTTTATTTAACATATTATCAGTTATTTAACCAAAATTTTTGGAGCCTCATCTGCAAAAGTAGAGGTACAGAGACAGAGACATCCTCTACACCCTTGAGGAACCTCCTCCCAAGTCCTAGGGAAATAGAGTTAAACATGCTTGTTTTCAAACATTTATTTTCCTCTCTACCATCAGCCCCTTGGCTGCTCACTAATGCACCCTTTGGTCTTGCTGTGATAAAACATAAAGGTTTGCCCAGACCCCTGCCTCTTCCCAGACAAACCCTCAGCCACAGTGCAGTGATATGGTCTTGGAGCTCAAGCTTCAAGAAGAGGCAGCTTTAATAATCTGTCCAGAAGAGTATCTCTAACACTATTGTATGAAATGGGCTGGCAGATGAGTGTGCCTGTCTTAATTATCTGTTCAATGGTAATAATAATAATTTGTATCCTGGAGAAATGCCCAGTCAGAGCTCACTTCTTTCCTAGGGGTAATTTTTTGAGACTAAATTGGCACCCAATTGTTTTAAAAACATCTGAGTTTTCTTAGTTCATGCTTCTAAGCAAAGGATTCATGTGTAGAGGACACAATCACAAAACATGCACAAAAGCTAAATAGTGATTGCTCTCAGCATCTTTATTTTCTGTTTTTAATACAATAGTGTTTATATGTAATGCTTACAGTATCTACTTTCTATCTAGATGTTTGAGAGGGAAAAAAAAGATTAAAAAGAAAAAGTAAGAAAAAGTCCTGGCTGTCAGTAAAAGGGAGCGGGGAAGCATAAACCATAAATTCAGTTAGCACCAGAGCAGAAATGTGCATGAAACACTGACAGGGGAGCACTTGGACTGCTTTATGGAGGCTGTTATATTTTCATTATTTAGACTGTAGCGGTGACCCCAGATCAGGCAGATAGGAATGAAACTAGCAACGAATTCACTCTGTATTTCATGTCAACTGTATCAGTCACATGAATTCACCTCGTGTTTCATGTGAACTCTATCAGGCATCGATTGACTATTTTTTTCCACCAAATTCATTTTTTAATAGCACTGAACAGTTATGTTACATCTTGTGTCCATATCTATGAGCAACTTTTCACAGGGTATTCTGGCCGTATCTAAATCATGGCTGATTGTGAGCAGTCTGGCGTCCTATGTCAGTGATTTGGAGAGTCCTAACTCAAGTGGAGAGGGCTATATTTAGGACAGACATGAGATTTCAGGACAGTACAGCTTGCTCCATCTCCCTACCAGCCTTGTCTAATGTTGAGCTTCCTTCTCCCCAAACCTTCCACTAACTGCATTATCCCTTTTCTTTCCTTTTGTTCTCTTCCCTTTCTACTCAACAGTGTTTCCTTCCACAGAGTCCACTCATGTTTAAAGATCAGATGCAGCAGGATGTGATAATGGTGCTGAAGTTTCCATCAAATTCTCCAGTGACCCACGTGGCAGCCAATACCCTACCCCACCTGACCATCCCTGCTGTAGTGACTGTGACCTGTAGCCGACTGTTTGCAGTGAACAGATGGCACAACACAGTAGGTATGTGAACCTAAGCAAGGCACTCACTGACGACTTAAGGTGAGAAAGGGGTATTGGGATAGCAGTGTCATTCACAAAAACAACAGATCATTGTCAAGCCCAGCTAAACAATGCAGGTCAGCCTCATGACTGCAGCTACACACTAGTGCCTCACAAAAGACAGAATATGGTTAAACTCTCAATGGATATTTGATAAATTTAAGCAGTTACACAAATTAATCAGATCTTCCCCTCCAAAAAAATCCCTCATTTTTATCATATATTAAGTCAAAATGAATCTTGTTTTCTGGAAGATAGTCTCAAATCCTGTTTTCTTAATGTCATTAATTTATTTAGCAGATATTTGAATAGCCATTACATGCCCCAAACCCCTAAACACTTGGAATAAAGCAATGAAGACAAACACCATCTCTAGTTGTCTAGTGATTTCACACATGCAGTTTCCAAATCCACTTGTGATAGTTTCTGCCAACACATCTTGAAGTGATATAATACCACTGCAAAAATTTAGACATATTGATAGTTATTTAGCCAGGACAGAAGTAGCTGTGACCAGATGATTTAGTTGACCTACTTTACCACTTAAGCTCTCCCTGGAAGCCCAGGACTCCCACTGTCCCTCGAACTGGACAAATGAGCCATGCTGATTTAACCTGAATCCTTCTATTGTACTCACTTTTACCTTACCCTGAAAAAGACTGATTTATACAATAGCTTTCTCCCAAAGAGTTTCCATGTGCACCTATTTTATGGTTGTTGGTGACAGAATCACCATAGGGTAGCACTACTCTTATTCAACCAGAAGCATGTGGCGCACATCTTAAAGACCATTATTCACAGGAGTCTCGTTCTTTACAAATGTTTTATGTTGAGTATAAACTATAAAGGGATAAATATTTCTTTCAAATTGTTCACAAATATTATGAATATATATTATGTAATCACATGGAAAAATGAACTCTCAATCAAACCCTAAATGTTAATCTACTGAAAGTACCATTTAATGAGACTGAAGATTTAAAATGTGGCTCCATTTTATATCTTCAGTTTACCAGTCATATATGGAGAAAGGATCCAGTTGAGTAGGAAACCCCAGCGCTGGCTCAAGAGAGCTTCTGCTCCTACTATACCTTCATGGAAGCCCAGCTTTTTTAAAAAAAAATTTAGGCTTATTGTTTGTTTGCTTTCTTTAACTTTTTAATGGGCTCAATAAATGTTATGATCCTGTGTTTTATCGAGAGTTTTCTTATCACTCCAGTTTTCTACATCTTAATATCTACATCTGATATCCCTGATGTGATGATGGTGATTTTTTTATTAGTTGTTTGTTTTTTGTGTCAGTACTAGGGCTTGAACTCAGAGCCTGGGCACTGTCCCTTAGCATTTTTGCTCAAGGGTGGCACTCTACCCTTTGAACCACAGCTGGTTAATTAGAGATAAGAGTCTCATAGACTTCCTGCCTCTGCTGGCTTTGCACCCTGATCCTCATATCTCAGCCTCCTGACAAGCTAGGATTATAGGCGTGAGCTACAACCACATGGCTTTGTGATGATGTTCTTAAGATTTACAGCAAAGTTATATAATGCTTAAAATAATTTACCAGAATTTTAAGCCAATGAACATTTTTTACAATTATCATAAACAACTCTCTTGTTAGGAAATCCTTTTATAATAATTTTATAACAGTCTTTTCTGTCTCTCTTGGTAATTTTTAGGCCTCAGAGGAGCACCGGGATACTCCTTGGATCAAGCCCATCATCTTCCAATTGAAATGGATCCATTAATTGGTAGGCTAAAATTATTTATTTTCAAGAATACTAAATATGAACACATTCCTACATGTAATATTTTTTTCTTCCACAAACTTAAAATTCAAATATCATCAGATTAAGATACATATTAATCATAATTTCCCTTCAAATAACTTTTTGCTATTCAAGCAATTCTTTATGACATTTTTGAAGGTCATTTAATTGAACATAAACAAGGCAAATGATATAAAATCTACCCTTTATTTCAGTCTAAAATATTTCTAACAACCTTTTATTACATAAGGATTCAAAGAGGAAATTAATACTGAAGGGTGAAACATTTATAAAGTAAAAATGTTTCTTAAACTCATGTTCTATATTTCTTCATGGAGAGTATTAAAATATTTAAATAATTGCATATATTAGACATTGGTTTATTAGACCTGTGGTCTAGAGCAAGCCCCTAATCATTCTAGACTTCTCAGTTTCACATCTGTGAGATTGTTCATAATAATGCTCTTCTAACTATCCTATGGGATTATTCAGAAAATTAAATTAGAAAAAAGCAATCCTATAAAATTATTATACTTTATATGAGCTCTGGGTTTTTGTTCTTAGATTAATACATAGGAAGATGTATTGAACTAAGGGAAGAGATATAGCCATATGTGCCAGTTACTTATATCCTAATAACATTTTACATATCATTTAGAGAATATAAGATTTAGAACTAGAAATATTTTTAGAGTCTAGTCTAGCTATTCCTCTTTTCAGCAGACATTGACAATGAAATACATAGCTAGTTTGTAACTATGGAAAAATGGATTTCTTTGTTATAATTAACCAGGCTCCACTTATATAGCTTTCCAGGACTTTGAATTTATTTTCCCTTTCTTTCTTTTTCTTTCCTTTCTTTCTTCCTTGCTTGCTTTCTTTCTTTCTTCTTTCTTTCTTGCCTTCTTTCTTTCTCTCTTTTCTTTTTTCCTCTCTCTCTTTTTTCTTTCTTACCTTCCCTAGTAATTATTTTTATAGTGTTAGAAGGTATCTACAAATAGTAACACTTGGATTTAATTGGTGTTGGAGACTGGTGGTGGTGACCTCCTACATCTGCATTTCCTGTTTAAGAATTCAGTCCAGGGATTTTTGCCTGAAAGGATGGCGTAGCATCAGGGACAAGCTGGCATCCAGACAGGCACTGGGGAAATCAGATGTGTCTCTGAGTTCCTGATTTTATTCAGATTCAATCCCAGTGCTATAGGCTGATTCTCTGCCTGTCTTTTTCCTCCCATCTTTTTTATTCCTCTCCTCCCTGCCAGCCCTTGCTAGAAAGCCTTCTGTTTGTTGACAATCCAGGTCTTTAGAGCTGCTGACCTAAAGCTCCCTGTGGGGCTTCCCAAACAACAACATGCCTTGCTCAAATCTCTACCCTCTTCTTTTTTACATGGATTGTAAATGTCATTGGAAAATGACAGATTGGGGAAAATGTAAGATCTCTTTTTCTATATGTTTCATGTAATATTTATCCTTTTTGGCTCTTATTAGACATTCGTGCATAATGAACATCACTAGAATCATGTGCATTTAAGTATTAGTTATTATGTTTTAAATGCATTCTCTTGAATTCCTCATATGCTTCTTATTTTTTGGTGGAGGAAAAACTTGAAATTCTGGCATGCTTTTTAAATATATTATATAGTTCATAAATAATCATTGCTACTAGGAAAACGTATATCCCCTAAGGGGAGCATGTCAAAATCTTAATAATTGTGTAGCTTTAAAAACCTATTACTGAGCCTGGCGCCAGTGGCTCACAACTATAATCCTTGCTACTCAGGAGGCTGAGATCTGAGGATCATGGTTCAAAGCCAGCCCAGGCAGGAAAGTTCATGAGACTCTTATCTCTAATTAACCATCAGAAAACCGAAAGTGATGCTGTGGTTCAAGTGGTAGAGTGCTTGCCTTGAGCTGAAGAGCTCAAGGACAGAACACAACCAGGCCGAGAGTTCAAGCCCCACAACTGGCCAAAAAAAAAAAAAAAAAAAAAGCCTATTACTAGATGAAGCACAAAAGTGTTCTGTTCCTGCTGTGAAGGCTTGGTGGAATTCTTTTGCAATCTTTCTTGAAATTCCTTCTATTTATTTATAGCTAATAACTCTGGTGTGAACAAACGGCAGATCACAGATCTTGTGGACCAGAGTATACAAATCAATGCCCACTGCTTTGTGGTCACAGCAGACAATCGCTATATTCTTATCTGTGGATTCTGGGATAAGAGCTTCAGAGTTTATTCTACAGAAACAGGTAATCCTAACTATGCAATACATTATTCTCTTTAAAATAATGTACTTAAAGCAAAGGTAGGTTTTAATTTGCTTATAAATTTGAGGGTGTCTCTACTTACTCTTCACATATTTAGTAAAAATAAAGTTAAGCTTACTATCATCTAAAGAAAATGAGTAAATTAAGTGAACCCATTGCCTCACTGCTGCAGGAAAACTGACTCAGATTGTATTTGGCCACTGGGACGTGGTCACATGCCTGGCCAGGTCTGAGTCCTACATTGGTGGAGACTGCTACATCGTGTCTGGATCTCGGGACGCCACCTTGCTTCTCTGGTACTGGAGTGGGCGACACCACATCATAGGAGACAACCCCAATAGCAGTGAGTGCTTTTGAAATTGTCCTGTCACGCTCTAAATTCACTTGCATATATTTTATCTTCCTGATTTTCCAAATTGTTTTTCTTGATTCTATAAGGACTTTAAAATATAAATGCTTAAGTGGTATAAATCTTTCTTGGAATGGGCAACAGCTATCATTGTGGGCCAGGGGTGACTCTCATATCCTCACCTATAAACTTCTGTCCAGCCACCTGACCCCACAACCACATGGGCTTCAGAAGTTTCACTTGGTCCATTAACCCTCCTTACAACAGGAGCTACATACATACAAAATGGTTATATTAATCCTTAAGAATAAAACTCTGAACATTATATTTCTTTAAAACAGCGTTTTATGTAAGCTTTAAGTAAGGGCAAGTAGTTATTATGGCAGATTATCTGGATTATTTATATGTGATTTTCAGTATTGCTTCCATCTATGAAAATTTATTCATGGGTCAGATATTTTTTGCTTAATGCCAGTGGCTCACACATGTAATCCTAGCTACTTAAGCTAAGATTTGAAGATTGCAGTTTAAGGCCAGCCAGGGCAAGAAATTCCATGAGACTCTTATCTCTAATCAACCACCAAAAAGCCAGAAGTGAAGCTGTGGCTAAAGTGGTAGAGCACTAGATTTGAGTAAAAAAGTTCAGGGACAGCACTCAGACCCTGAGTTCAAGCTTAGGAGCATCATGCGCATGTGCACACATTCATGCGCGCACCCACCCCCCCCACACACAATAATTGGAGGGGGAGAGATACCTCTTGTCATCATTATGAACTTACCTCCGTAAAATGCACTCTGTAAAGACTTCATTAGATATTTCAAGTGGACATAAAGTACAGCAGCTTCCATTACTTTCATGTAAGAAAAATAATGTTCCTATTGATAAATGGGAAAAGCACCTACAAGATGAGACAAGCACTAAATAAATATATGCTAAATGTCTACTGTGTGCCTAGTGTTCTCTTAGCAGCTAGAATTCTGGGTACATACGTTCCTTAGAGTTGGCCTTCTGGGGTTAAATAAGGACCTCTCTCTCTATATATTTTTTGGGGGGGGGGTTCCAGTCATGGGGCACTTCCGGCTTTTTTCTTTTTGCTTATGTGGTGCTGAGGAATGGAACCCAGGGCCTCAGGCATGCAAGGCAAGCGCTCTACCACTGAGCCACCTTCCCAGCCTGGACTTCTATATTATACTCATTACAAAACTACTTTTGCTATTGAATGTACGGAGGATAGTGTATTAATTACATGAATCATTCACTGTAATAGATAATATTTTGTATAAGTTCTTTGTTATCTATATAGTAATTAACTTTACATCTTGAGCATAGATTGACTACATAAAAAAATTGTTTCAACGTTTTTCCATAATGAAAATAAGAATAGTAAAATGAGTACATCGAGATGTAGTATTTGATTGGGCTAGCTGACTTACGTGTCATTTATCTGAAGCAGCCAGCCTAGGAGTATATCCATGCCTGAGTAGAGCAGTGGTACATTGGTCAGTTCACTTTTTTTTTCCTTCTTTTTTTATTGTCAAGGTGATATACAGAGGGGTTACAGTTACATAAGTAAGGTAGTAAGTACATTTCTTGTCAAACTTGTTACCCCCTCCCTCATTTTTCTCCTATTTCCCTCCTCCCAGTTCACTTTTTTTTAAAGGTATTTACAGAGCACACTGAGCTGATGGTCATGTCTGTGATCTGACTGTGGTGTTGACATAGTCATCCACAGACATAGTTGTTGACATCCATAAACTTACAATATGAAAGAAAATGATTCTTTTTCTACTCTAGTTTAATCTACTCTGGCTTCCAGTTCACAGGTCAAAGAACCAGGCTATCTGTTTTCTATTTCAAATCCAGTGTTGCTCAAAATCAAAAGGCCAGTTATGTAATTTGTATTAAAGTGTGTGACACAAAGCCCTTAGATTTTAGAGGTTGTATGCATTAACCTAGACTTGAAAGGAGATGCCTAGGCATGAAACATAATATCCTCATAGCTGTTGTAAGTCAGATGTTGATCTTAGTGTGGACATTGAATCACTTTTTATGGCAGGGAGTCCAAATGTACTTTTTTGTCACATCATGAAATGTTAACATTTATCATCTAATATTATATACACATCACTGAAATCCCAAAGTAAATTCAAGTGGCTTTAATATATTTGTTTCTTTTGCATTGTTGTTATTGTATTATTATTGTAATTTTAAGTAGTCATAGAAAGGATGTATGCTTTTTGTGTGAAATTCATCATTGTGACTAATTTAGACATCTCAGAAGTACTAGTTTTTCTAACTTTTTTCCATTTAATGGATTCATCACAAAGACAATGAAAATGTGCAAACAGATTATTACACAGAGAGTTTCAGACCATAAAAGAAATGAGCAAAGGCTACCTAGCATATGTTAGAGTTGAATTATAGTTCTTTTATTAATGCATTTTATACTAGTAATACTCAACGTTATTCTTTCCAACTTGTGATTTTGAACATAGGAAATTATCTTGGAGATTTTAAATAGGTCCCTAACTAGATAACAGAATTGCAAAGATGTGAGGGACAGATGCTTTCATCTGTAACAGTCTTACACAAATTCTGAAACTAATTTGGAAGTGATAAAAATTAATTTGCGCACTTTAATTGGAATCAGTCTCCTGCATGAAAGAAAGCAGAGCAGAGCAGGCAATTTGTGCTAAAAGCTGATTGAATTTTTTGTCAGGTAGGTATCTTGGACTTGGCCGCTTATCCTCTGGAGTCCTCTGCAATATATTACAACCCATCCCTGACTGGTGTTCTTTAAAAGGATCAATGCTATTCCTGTTGAATCCCTAGAGTCCAAAATTTCATTGATCTTGGGACTTGACATTTCTCATTATGTGCTGTAGCTTCCAACAAGATAGTCACCAGAGGGGCAAGTTAACATTGTTGTGTCTTCAATAGGCACTGAAAATACATTGGGACCTCAGCTCAAAAGCCATTGTGCTTTGAAAGTCTGCAATTTAAAGGTTTATACCAGATATAAGATGCTTTATAGAGAGTTTGATGATACATACATATGGAACTTTAAAAATCATAGCAATATGAAACTTTAAAAGGAGATTTACTTTTATCTTTTCAAACCAGATCAACAATATTCACTTAGCAGTGTGTGTAAGACATCATTCTATGCCGTTATACTCCGTATTTTAAGCACAGGTCTTTTAGCTCATGTACATGTATTACACAAATGATGAAAGGATACGCCAATTGGAAAAGGGGTATCCAGCTGTGCACACACACCTTCTCTGGGCTCCTATTGTGTAGGCCTCAGCCCTGGACACTGACCCTCCTGCCAGCCACAGCCTGTCATGAAACATCTGCCAAATCATACTCTCTCTTTGTTTGTTTCCAGCCACTAGCCATACTACTATAAGAGACTAAAGCGTCGACAACTAGCCCCAGATACTTTTAAGTACATTTATATTTATATAGATGTAGATAACAAGTATCTATTATTAAATAAGTATGTGCCACTTCCCAGAGCAAGGATTTAGTAAATGTTAAACCTTAAATTAAAATAGGTACCAGCAGGGGCATAATCAGATGTGTAAGAATTTTTAGCTCCCAGGGCTTTCTGGGATCTCGTGGCCATATATGTAATGCAACAAAGGAGCCCACTCAGCACCTTGTCCCCAGTCTAACATCTGAAAACCTTTAGGGTCTGTGACTAGGAAACAGAACGCTTTCCACTGGACTCTGCTTTCCTTTTCCGTATCTAGACCTGAAACTTCAAGAAAGGTCTTCGACCTGGTCGGAAGCAATACTTTAAAAATTCCTGGCTAGTTTCTTCTTTGCCCAGATAGCTTCAGCTCACAGACAAGGGGTGTCAAGGCATCATACAGATCCCAGCTTCCTTGGGAAGGGCAGGTAAATTTTTGTTTGGGGGCAGTGTGGGAAGGATCAGTATGATACTATGTCCTAGATCTAGGATCCAGGAATTCAGTACAATCAATGTCATCTCATCTCTGAAGAGGAAAAAAAAATTTACAGTAAATTAATAAGTAGGCTCACCTATTCACTCGTTCATAGAGAATGGGTCTCCTATTCTCCACTGAAGAATCTTCTAAACTTCATTAAATACTGAGTATATGTTCTTCTAGTTGTCATTGAATATTTTGTGATATGCAATCAAAGAAAATCATTTCTAGCCCATGGACTGTTTTTACTGTGTTCCGTTGTGGCTTTGGGAAATGTGGACCTAGTCATATTTGGGACTTGATCTAGACCTCTGTGGCAACTCGCATGTGACTGAGGACTCAATGTCTTGATATAAGGGACTCCTCACTGATACTGCCCATCTCTGTCCCAGCAAACATGTACCTAATACTTTGACACACTCAAATTGCAGTTGCAATGAAACAACTACATCTTTTGACTAAATCCCTTACTCTGTAACTTTAAATTGAAAACCCATCATATTTTATGTATGTATAATCAGAAATGAAAACAGCTTCTACCACGCTTCTGCAATGACTTGGACAAGGTCAGAGGCAAAATTTGAATGTCCTTCATCAACAAAGGGCTCAGCTTCTGGCTTCAGCAAAGCTACTCTGAAGAATTTAGTTCTTAGAGACTCTACTATCCCTTTTCCGCTGATTCAGAGGGACCTATGTTTCCCCTGTACAAACAGAGTTAAATAAGAATCATGAGTAATCTCTACTTGGACCATCAATCTAAGAGTCATAGAGTATCTGTTAAGAATCTCCCCTCATCAGCTCTATATGAATAGATGCGTCTAATATGTAATTTCTTTCTCATCCAGGAAATGACTTTGGATTTAAATGAGATGAACTGTTCATTTTATGAAGACTGGAAACTCGACCTGTGTTGTTATTCTTACAGCAATTCCATCACACAGAGGGCTCTTGTTGAGGAAATGAGAAGCAACGAGAGCCATGGGGCTGTAGGCCTGGGAGGGAGGTCTCACCTGCAAATCCCTCCACAGTGGGCCCTTTAACCCTGAGCCACATCCATCAATTGTGAATGGGATAGTGATTTCAAGTGATTGTTGGTGTGTTTAACATCTGTCCCTGGCAATAAATAGAGGGAATATATTTTCTCCTTGATGTAGATTTCCTTTCAGAAATCCTAGAATAACATTTTTATTTGCTTTTCTCCAGTTTACACTAGAGCCCGTTAAGAAGGCTTCCAGGGCCCCTAAACAATACCCCTTTAAGTTTTACCATTTTGAATAAATTTGAATAATTACCTAGGGAAGTTATAATGACATAATAACACATTTTAAATTCAGTAAATCACATGCAGCATTTAAAGGCCTTACTTATTAATAGAAATTATTGTAATGAATATTTTTGTACATTTTTCCAATTCCCTACAATAAAATAGAATTAAGTTGAATTTTAGGGTTTTTTTTTAATATTTTGAGTTTGTCACAAGAACTTTATAAAAATTTTATGAAACATAGTTGAAAGGCTATCCAGGACAAAACACTCAGAAAAATTAAAGAGAAATATCACACATAAAATCTTATCAATACTTAATGCTGGTATTATCAGTAAATGCAAGGTATCTAGGAAACATAAGTTTGTAAATTAAGAGAATATATTTCAGACAAATCCAGAGCTCCTGGAAATATGATCCAAAACTTATTATAGTAATATGTATAGATTTGAATACAGTGGAAGGTTGATATGAGTGGGATGCCAGTCCTCTTCTCCCACACGGTTTTAGATATGCTTCAAAATCAGAATGGCAGTATGGAGGTAGATGGGTGAGAAGACTCAAAACTGTGAGAAAGAGAAAAGGGCTGTGTTAAGGGGTGTATGGATAGACCAGAATGGAGAGTGCATGGCATCTTACTAGGTGAGAATTTAAGTACCAGTTCAGCCATCCAATATTCCTTATTAAGTCATATCAGTGCCAAAAAAGAGGTATGCAGGAGCAGGTGTCTCACAAGATAGCTCCTGAATGTTTTATGTCCTATATAGTGAAGATAAAGGTCTCAAGCCAGAAAACAGCTTTTAAAAAGTAGGCCAGATCAAAGACCAAAGTGCAGAGTGGTTCTTGAACATGAATAAGGAGCAAGGGGCCACCACCCACCCAGAACAGGAATTCACAGAAAAAGGCATACATCATGCAAGCTCAAGCTCTGTAAAAGAAAGACCTTGAGCCAAACACTCTGCTTCTCAGTAAAGAGTAGTAAGAGTACACAGTAAAGAGAAGTAAGAGAAATACAGAACTTAAAAATTACTTCACATCCCCTAAGAAATGAACCCTTAGATATGTATTTAAATGTTTTTTTCTTTCATGCATTTGTTTCTAACTCATTTATAAGATTATTTCTTTGTAGCTTTGTATGTCCCTCCCCCACAGTTTAACCCCTGCTTTCACTATATTTGATGTCAGTATAATTTGTGGAGGAGATGGGGAAAAACAAGTCGTTTAAGGATACAGGTGGAAGTTGTCATGTCAAAAACGAACTTTACAACTTTGGTGCGGGGGGGGGGGGGATTGGGGGGGGCGGGGGGAGGCTGGGAAGGGATGTGAAGGGTAAACAAAGGAGGAGGCTGCAATGCTTGATAAGAAATGTACTCATTATCTTGCCCATGTAATTGTAACCCCTCTGTACAGTATGTTCACAAAAAATTAAAATTAAAAAAAAAGAAAGATAGTGTTAAGGTTGCCAGAAATGTTCTGTATTTCTTACTTTAGTGATAAGAACAAAAGAATTAATTATATTCTTAGTCTTAGACATACAAATACTTAATATGTAACCAGCATTTAAAAAATTATTTAATTCTTAAAACAAGAAAACTAGGCATCTGTGAGAAAGCTAACACCTTGATCTCTTAAGCCAAATTATCATCTATAGTAGCTGCCCCGCCCCCCAAAAGGAAGAATGATGAGTATATTTTGGATCCTCTGAACCTTAATTTGAGCAACATTATCTCTTTTTTACCATCTTGACATTTACTTTCTTTTTATTTTTTTAATTTAAAGTTTATTGTAAACATGATGTACAGAGTTACATAAGTAACATACAGTTACATAAGTCAGGAAATGAGTATATTTCTTTTTGGACAGTGTTCCCCTCATTTTCTCCCACTTTTCCCCTCTCTTTCCCTCCACCCCAAGTTGTAAAGTTCATTTCCAACATATACATATTGTCTAGTGATATCGCTGCTGAATTGGTTCACACTTTGTCTCACTATTTCTGTATTTCTGCTTCCCCTCCCCAAATCAGATAAACTCTCTTCGTCACTGATTTTTTAGTCCTGTACCCTTTGTCTTATACATAAGCAATATTGTCTTAATAATAATTAATTCATCCTAAAACATATAAAATTAAAGTTTCTATAGCAAAAATTATTACAGCATAAAACATAGCAGCACAAAAAAGAAGTTTCATCTTTATAATTAGTTTAAGAAATTTTGCAGGGGCTGGGAAGGTGGCTCAGTGGTAGAGCACTTGCCTTGCATGCATGAGGCCCTGGGTTCCATTCCTCAGCACCACATAAGCAAAAAGAAAAGAAAAGTCGGAAGTGGCACTGTGGCTCAAGTGGTAGAGCGCTAGCCTTGAGCTGAAGAGCTGAGGGACAGCGCCCAGGCCCAGAGTTCAGGCCCCACAACCAGACCAAAAAAAAAAGAAAGAAAAGAAATTTTGCAGTTACATCAAAATATAAATCTGAAATCTGAAGTTTATCACAGACTATTTTCCAAGCAAGAGTAAAAAGTATAAATAGGAGAATTACAGTCCAAGTGCTGGCCAAGGCAAAAAGTGAGACCCTGTCCCAAAATAACCAGTGCCAAAAGAAATTGTTGAAGCATGATTTGGTGATAGAACACCTGCCTTGCGAGAGCAAGACCCTGATTTCAAACCTCAGTACCCAAACTCAAAAATCCCAGCAAGAGAAATGGGAGCATGTGAGCAATGGAAGATGTTGACCAATGTATGAGGTGGTTAGTGTAAGTAGTGGGGTATTAGAAGGCATTAATAAATATCTATTGAATTCAAATTGAGTGATCCAGATCCAGACTATATTATTTTTTCTTTTTTATTGTGAAAATACTGTACAGAGGAGTTACAATTACATGGGCAGGATAATGCGTACATTTCTTACCAAGCATTGCAGCCTCCTCCTTTGTTTCCCATTCCCATCCTCCCCCCGCCCCCCCACCCAATCCTCCCGGCCCCCCAGACTATATTATTATTGCTTGTTCTGTGTCCTTTTCTCTCATCACCTTCCATAGAGATTCATTTCAGTGAACCAGGTCTTCACATCCTGCCCAGGATGGCCAACATTGAATCTTCTTTTCTTCTCTTTTCTTTTCTTGAGGGGGATGGAGAGAGCTAGGGAGGCAGTCAATAACAACTTTATTCTCTTTAGAAGGGCTCAGTGTATAAGTTTGAGTAACATAATTGTAGGCTGTATTTTTCTCCAAGTTCACAAATTCTTATCAATTTGTCAGCTCCCACAGCTATCTAATTTTTCAAATATTTTTCAAATATTAATTATATATTAAGCATTGATAATATATATATCTACCAAAGAAATCACCCCAAGCCCGCCATCTACCAAGATGGTGCATGGCTCCATTTACTTTCTACATTCCTTTCAGACATTCTCTTACTTCTTTCCTGCACCCCCACCCCGACACTCCTGTACCTCAAGACTATAGGCATTACTCATTTCCATGCCAAACTGGCTTCTCCCAGGAGCTTCCCCAGCCAAGGCAGTGCTGAGTATGGTGCTCTCCTAAGTTTGCTGATCCTTCTCAAATGTTCCAAGTGTTCTGGTTTTCTCTTCATTCATGTGGAGATAGATTTCATTCCTTCTGAACACACGTGCACACATTCCTTCTTCCTCACACTTGTTCATTTTGAGTGGCTCAAAGTGGTAAAAGCATACAAACGCCAAAAGTATTTGATGTGTTGTGGTTTCAACAGTTTCAGGATAGACCTTATGACTTCAAACCTCACCCATTTAGAAGATCGCTTGTGCTTAGAAGGCATTGATTGATTGGTTCAGTCTGTGAGAACACTTACCAGTGAGAATGCCAAATGATTCCACCAGACTTAGGTTCACACCACTAAAGTAGAGAATGAAGCTTAATGTTCCCTTTTCTCCTTTCTGACTTTCCCTACACCCATTCTCTTACCTCCCCCCAACCCAAACGATCATCTCTGCCTGTTCTGTTGGAGAATTTAGGGAATGTTTGTAATTTCGTAAGAGTATGGCTTTCACAGTTAGAAAGCTGAAATTCAAGTCGAATACTTGCTAGCTCTGTGAAGTTTAATAACCTTGTTGTACCTGACCTCATAAGAATATTGCCGTGATTAAATGTGAGAACATGCACAAAAATGCCTTGGCAGATATTACACCATTTTTATACCAGTTTTATAGTCAGGGGAAAAAGCACACTATCACCACTGTCATAGTGTTCAAAGCACATTACATGTTAACATGTCCCATCCTCTAAATAGCCTGTGTCACAGAGAGATTACTTATAACCATTGCACAAATGAGGGAAGAGCAGAAAAAGTTTAAAATGTAACTGGTTATGGTCACACAACTAGTAAAAGCCCTTCATAAATCACTGGTGATTACTTTATAAGACACTGAACTTGGTAGTGTTGCTCCTTCTATCTGCCTTTGGTCTAGAGAGACTCACTGTGGCTGTTCTCTTTCAGGTGACTATCCTGCTCCCAGAGCTGTCCTCACAGGACATGACCATGAAGTTGTCTGTGTTTCTGTCTGTGCAGAACTTGGACTCGTTATCAGTGGTGCTAAAGGTCAGAAGTCATTAATTTCATTTTAATTGTACCATTTTCTCAAGGTGTACTTTCTGGTTTATTTCTTCTAGAAGACTGGTCACACACAAATGAAACCCCTAGGTTCTTTGAAAGTGTTTAGTTTTGTTACTAATATTTACTGGTACTAACAAAATATGAATAAAATTTTTGTAGCATTTTGTGGTCACCAGCATGCTAACCATAACACTGGTAAATTAAGTGGCTATGCATCCACAAGATACAACTGTTAAAGAGAGTATTTAAAACACGAAGGGTTGCCAGGCACCAGTGGCTCACACTTGTAATCCTTGCTAGTCAGGAGGCTGAGATCTGAGGATCACAGTTCAAAGCTAGCCCTGGCAGGAAACACCATGAGACTTCTATCTCCAATAAACCACCAGAAAACCGGAAGTGGCGCTGTAGCTCAAATGGTAGAGTGCTTGCCTTGAGCTGAAGAGCTGAGGGACAGCGCCCAGGCCCAGAGTTCAAGGCCCCCGACCCACCAAAAAAAAAAAAAAAAAGCTAAAACACGAAGGGAAATGTCCTCCTGCAGTGTGGATTGAGGGGTCAGGTCACTCATCATATTTGCCTTGGATCCACCTTCCTCTGCAAAGTCCCCTTCTTATCTGTTTGTTTTTAAGAGAGAACAAGGTGTTTGTGGCTCGTGCATGTAATCCTAGCTAGTCTGGAGGCTGAGACCTGAGGATCTGGGTTCAAAGCCAGTCTATATGGGAATGTCTGCCAGACTTATCTCCAATTGATCACCAAAAAGCTGGAAGTGGAGCTGTGGCTCAAGGGTATAGCTTTAAGCATAAAAGCTTAGGGACAGCACCCAGGCCCTGAGTTTAAGGCCCAGGGCCAGCAAAAGAGAGAGAGGACAAGGGGGGAGGGAAGGGAGAAAGAAAGAGAGGAAAGGAGAGAGAAACAGAGAGAGGGAGAGATACAGCCACATAATACCAAACACACACACAATACAGACACTTATTTTGATGAGTTTAATTAGTGGGTTTTTTTTTATCTTAACACAATTTCTACAATGGTAAAGTCCTACTGAAACTAAAGTCTCCCTCAATCACTGCTAATATATTTAAAAGACAAAAATGTATTTTAATATATAGTCTGAATTACTTGATCAGTTCCCTACTTTTCCTTTTGTATTTTACATATTGATTATAGATAAAGGTAAAACTTCTTGATTATGTATTTATATAGTATACCATGAAAATTTTGGTGCTACTAGAGAAAATTAATACTATTTTGATAACTCTCTTAAGCTTTCCAGAAAAAAAATGTACAAAAACATCAGGAAAAAGCCTTCTGGGACATTCAGTCCTTTATTCTCACTTAGTCTATAAATTATGTCCTTTTATTATGACTATTACTATCCAATGTCTGAAAACTCAGTTGTTTGCCTGGATACGTTTGGAGCAATTTAGAAGTATGGACTGAATATGTACATATTCAGTATGTACTGAATATGTATCTGTTCTGTTGCAATATAAGTTCAGTGCTTGGCTCTGGCCAACATACCTCTTTCCTTTTCTGTCTTCTTTCAACAAATCTGAATGCCACCCAGGTAAGTTTTTAGCCTGATGAAATCTGCAGAGCCATTTGTGGTCACTCACTGACCTGTCACTGATGTCCCCATTCTGCAGAGGGCCCTTGTCTCGTACACACCATCACTGGAGACCTGTTGAGAGCCCTGGAGGGACCTGAAAACTGCTTGTTCCCACGTTTGATTTCTGTGTCCAGTGAAGGCCACTGTATCATCTACTATGAGCGAGGGCGATTCAGCAACTTCAGCATTAATGGGAAACTTTTAGCTCAAATGGAAATCAATGATTCAACACGGGTAAATATGCATGTCTAGTGCTAAACAAGATAAAAGCAAGACCAAAGATTGTTTATATTAAACAACATAATAAGCATGTCTGTTACATATAAATGTGTGCTGGTTTAACAGATATATAATTCAAAAAGATACCTTGAGTAAATCCAAAATTCCATTAATCCCAAAAAAATTGACTCAGTGAATTAGACTTTAGAGACCATAATAGTTGTCTCATAAGTGGTTTTTAAATCTAGGATTAAACTATGGAATTCCATACATGAATCCAGTACCCTGAGTAATGGTAAAAGTCACACCCATCTTCATGATCTTCATGTACATACATTTGCTTTTGGGTTTAAATAGAAGGAATAATTAAGAAGATGGACATAATTACTATATAATCTCAGTCTCAAGTGTGTGTTTTTTGTCACTGGTGGATGCTACAGGTGGTCCAAAAGCTAATTGCCACAGGATTCCTTAACTAGGATCCATTACAATAAGATCCAGGGATCACCAATTTGAAGCCAGCCTGCACAGGAAAGTCCTGTTAAAGATTCTTATCTCCCATTAACCAGCAAAAAGACAGAAGTTGAGCTGTGGCTCACTTGGTAGAGCACCAACCTTGAGTGAAAAGACTAAAGGATAGTTGCACCAAGCCCTAAGTTCAAATCCAAGAACAGGCACAAAAAGGAAAGTCATTGCTTAAATTGTTTTTATAAGATCCTTGGTTTCTTTGATGAATTCCACTTTGGAGATTTATGGAATGGACCTCTTGCACAGGGGACTGAGTAAGGAGGTAATTATTATTAGGGAATGGGTGTGTGCTCTCCAGATTGCTGGGTAATTTTTGTTCATTTTTCCCTTGCTGGAGATCAAAACAAGCTCACACATGCTAGGCTCTACCCCTGAGCTGCCCTCCAAGCCCAACAGACTGATATTCAGTACTTACTATTTATTGTGAGGGGAAAAAAATCTGAAAGAAATGGTGGGTTTTGTCTTTCTCTGAAGGCCATTCTCCTGAGCAGCGATGGTCAGAACCTGGTGACTGGAGGGGACAATGGCGTGGTGGAGGTCTGGCAGGCCTGTGACTTCAAACAGCTGTACATTTACCCGGGATGTGATGCTGGTATTAGAGCAATGGACTTATCTCATGACCAGAGGTGAGCTACCTAAAGAACAAAAGTAGTCACATAACAGTCATCAAAAACCCTTTACACGCCCAAGTGCAGGGGACTCATGCCTATAATCCCAGCTATTCAGGAAATCTGGGATTACAGTTAGAAGTCAACCCTGGCAGGAAAGTCCACTATCCGTTATCCCCCACTAAAAAATCCAGAAGTGGATCTGTGGCTCACATGGTAGAGCTCTAGCCTTGAGCACAAAAACTCAGTGACAACACCACTTTGCTGGATTCAAGACATAGGCCACCTCTTAATATTCTAAGGTGAATGGACTAGAATAAGCGTACAAGTGAGTTCCCCAAGGAAGGATCTAAGCAGGGAAACAGAGGGAGCAAATACTAACAAATCTCAGAAATGGATCTGTTGAATGAGCGTGTCCACATACATTTTAAGGGCCCAAACATGCCAGCTAAGGATAGGAATTCATCTTCTCTACTTAATAAAAAATTTAAAGGCAGGAAAATGTTTAAAGCAGATAGATCAAGTTTATTTGAAAGTGAAAATAGAGCATAGACTCTCCACAGACAAGGGCTGCAATAGAGTCCTAGTTCTGTCATTACAGTACAGGGCTCCTCCCTGGGCTTTGCCTGATCGCTTGCATGTCCTCCCCACCCCACCAGCAGCAATTTTTACTGGGGGAGCCATTACCGAAGGCACGTCAGTAAAAGAAGCCCATGTCGTCTGCCACGTGTTATACCTTCCATAGATTTTTTTTAAAACTCTATCTACCAAACTAGGGAGGCTTACCTCTCCCTCACCAAGACATAGAACTTATGTTCCTTAGTATCTCTCCTCACAGACCCGCAGCTTATCTCATACAGGATTGTCCTGGCTGTGATACGAGAAAGAAAGGTTTAATTTAGCTTTGTTTTGTTTTTTAGCAGAGGTTTGTTTCAGCAGGGTGAGGCTTACATCTAGATAACCAAACTCCAGCATAGATGAATGACAGCTTGCCTCCAATTCAAAGATATAGGCTGTTTACTAATTATCTGAGTCACTCCCACCCCCTGGAGTTTCTTGCTTACCTGTTTCTCATGTCACTTTGTTGTATTTTATGTATTCCCTTAAAATATTTTATATGAACTTTATTTAATACGAGTTTTCATGGTCTCTGCAACAAGATTTTGTTATTGCCTAAAATTCACTTTGAGTTTGTAACAAAGTAAAAAGAATACAAGGAATATAAAGTTTAAAGTTCCTCAGTTAAACAACATGAACTAAAAAACCTATCATCTCTCAATGTCATGTAGTATATCATTTTGTTATATATTGAACAGAAATAAGAAAAGCCTGTCAGTCAGCTTTCAATTATGTGAAATATTTCTTGCAAGGCTATTGGTTTTAAAATAGCTTAAATAATAAGATATATAATAAAGGTCTTAATAAGATAGTAAAATAGTACTGAAGTCATCGAGGGAAATAATGTAATTTAGTCTGGTGTAAAGATATTTGGTCCCTAACCAGATTGTTTTTAAAGAAAGATGAAGATTATTGTTATAGTATTGCAAAACACTATAATCCATTTATGGTAATAAGTTAGGAGTGGATAATTGTAATTATTTGTTTATATATGAGTATTTGTTTTTTAACTCTTGAAAAATTTTATTAGTTTATATTAAGTGAACAAAGGGGGTTCAGTTTGCTATTTCCATGCATGTATATTGTACTTTGATCAAATTATCCCCTGTATTTACTCTACTTTAATTCCACCCCTCTTTCCTCCAGAAATTTTTTTACAGTTTTTAGTGGGTTTCATCATGCCCTTTTATACATAGGTACAATATATTCTTTTGTCCCATTACATTCCTCTCTCCTCTTCCTTCTTCCAGTCCTCTCCATAAAGAACCATATAAAATTATCTTAACCACTTGGAGATATTCACTATGAATATCTCCATATTCACTATGAATATGCAAAGAGTTGGGTTTTTAATTTTAACTAATAACTAATCAAGACATTTCACTTTGTCTCACATTAAGTTGATGAGTCTCACAGATCATTGCTTAAAAAATTGGCATAATAGGCCATACATGGGTATTTCTAAAGTATTTGAAATAATTCATGTTTTCTACTAGGGAACAATAGTTAATGTTCATTCATATATCCATTTTGCCAACATTTGCATGTACTGTTTTGGGTGAAGTATTATGCAGAATGCTAAGGTACATAATACAATTACTGAGCCCTCTGAGCTCCAGTTTTCCAAGACTCAGTGTCAGGAGTGCCTAATGGGAATAAGGAAAGATACTAATTAAGTTTCTATGTCTATTTTAATTTCATGTTTAATGTTGATTGTTTTTACTGATAATGAAACAGCAGTAGTATGTGATTAAGCATCATAAACAGCTGTATAAACACACATTGGTCATATATACTCAAGAAGTATTTACCTAATGAAGAGTTAGATTAGAAGTTAAACACACTAGTTCATGGAAAGTGGACTATGAACTTACTAGCAATGAGCCTGGGGTGACCTCATCCCACAGAAAGGAGCCTTAGAGCACTTGACTGATTGGTTGGAAGGCATAAAGGAGAAAGGACAGATGACATGACCTATGAGGTCAGCAGGTAGACAGTGCTCAGAGCAGATGTGTTGAGTCTGAGGTTTCTTTCTGTGACACGGCCTGTTGTCATCAGTAGGCAAAGACATCCAGTGGGCACAGAGAAAGTATCATGAGAAGATATTATGACTGTATCTGCCCAGGCTCAGGGAGAGGATATAGAGTGAGGATTGAAAGAGTGAGGCGAGTAAGGGAGACTAAATGTTAGAAAGGTTTGGAGAAAGGCCAGAAGTTCTCAATGGCATAGGTATGATTGTGAGTGGCAGCAGTGGAGGTGACAGTATATCTGCAGATCCTCAGCTACCCAGAGAGGCATATGGCTGGCTTCGCATTTCTTGGCAAAACCAAGAAGAAATTTTATTCCCATCTCAGTGGACACAAAGCTAAGACTTAGGAAACTTTGAGATCAGGAGTTTCTATCACTGATAACTACAGTTTCTGCTTTTCCAGGACTCTGATTACTGGCATGGCTTCTGGCAGCATCGTAGCTTTTAATATAGATTTTAATCGGTGGCATTATGAACATCAGAACAGATATTGAAGAGCAATGAAGAACCAGAAGCCAAGTTCAAGTAGAGCACAAGTGCTGCATGGCAAGGCAATATCTCTGGTGGGAACGCTCCTCTGCATCGGCCTCTGTTTGTACATTCCATCACACCCAGCAATAGCTGTACATTGTAGTCAGCAACCATTTCACTTTGTGTGCTTTTTCAGGACTGAACACCAGCTGCTATCAAGCAAGCTTCTATCATGTAAATTATATGAATTAGGAGATGTTTGGGTAATTATTTCATATATTGTTGTTTATTGAGAAAAGGTTGTAGGATGTCACAAGAGACTTTTGACAATTCTGAGGAACCTTGTGTCCAGTTGTTACAAAGTTTAAGCTTTGAACCTAACCTGCATCCCATTTCCAGCCTCTTTTCAAGCTGAGAAAAAAACACGTTTGATACTTTGTACATCAGATGCATCTTATTTAAAGGGATACTTTTATAAAAGTAAAACCTTGTATAAAGAACAAAACTGTTTCTTAATTTTATTGTGGAGTTACAACTTGCATGTTCTTTACTCCTGATGTCTTGATGGAACAGGTGCGTTCACACTATGAAACAGAAAAATCTGTCCAAGGACACAGCTTGTAGGAATGGGTTGAATTTGGGCTCAATCAGTAATTTTTTTTAACATTTTCCCCAAATATAATTTGCACTTTTTAATCAAAATTCATCTCTTCTAAGTGAAATTTGCTCATAAAGCATTTGGATACTAAGCCATTATTTGCCATTTTTGGTACCTTATACAAAGAAAATTCAGCCCTGCCCTTTATAATTTCAAGACACAGCAGAGAGGGGGCTTAAGGATGAGATCCTGGTTTTTATTGGTATTTATTATTATTATGAACAGGAGTCAAGATCATTCGTCTCATAGTAATGACTTCCCCACACCTGGACATCTCTTCCAGAATCATCCCACTGGCGTAGTGTGTGTACATTAGGGGAGGAGAATAATGCTAACTTTTTTTTTCCTCTTTGGTTCTTGAATAGCTTAGTTTCTTTAATAATGACTTGTTTTACAACAATAACTAAAGTTATGCTTTTAGGTTCTTGTGAAATTCTCACCAAAAGCCACACTCTTCACCTAAGGCACTTCATCTTTTATGATATAAGATGATGGCTATCAGATGATTTTCCATCATTGTACTGATCCAGTTATACACCCAGGGGTATATACACTTTATCCATGTTTCTTCTTTGTATATTTGGTGACTGTATTGTCATAGATGTACATATTGTGTCGGTAGGGCTATGAGGCATGTTACAGGAATGTAATTTTCTCAGAATTTACACTCACTTGCAGTCATTTATTTAAAAAAATAAAACAAGATCATGGGTTCTTTGTATTGGCACTTTGCACCAGAAACATATCATTATTTATTGATGTGATTACTTATTTGTTACCCACCTTGTACTAGTAAGTTTTAGCACTGAATTATTCCTTCTTCATTGTCGTTTGTATTTATGAACTTCTGAAATTAAGGGGAATCAGCATAATGATTAAGTTATTCATCACCAGGCTGTAAGCAATATCTTGAGTTTGTAGCTTAGAATGGGGAGGAAACTGAACATCTGGAAGACAAGTTCATTTCATCTTGAGATCATGGTGAAATATTTTGGATATATAAATTCCTTAAGCTATTGTAACCATGTTTTATTGCAAAGATGTAAAATATGCCAGATGTGTGTGAGTTGGAAATCAAAAAAAGAAAAATAAAATATGCAAAGAATTCACTGGTTGTTTCCCATTGTATCGGGCACCTCACTAATGTACATCCGTTAAGCTGTCGTATGCATTTCAGAAATCAGCAGTGCGTCCTATAAGGGACGAGCATGCAAAAACACGAGATCCAGGCCTAATGAGGATCCTAATTTGCTGAAACGTGAACTGCTCTGCCGGACCATCTGGCAGGGATTTGGGGCAACAGTGACCACAGGGAAATAGTCCTGGTTGTTTATTCTGCATAATCCACCTCGAGGGTTTTTATTTTAAAGAAACAAAATGATGACGGATATAACTCTTTATCTGAGTACATCAAGAAATGCTGTTTTCATTTGAAACTACACTCTGTAGAATTCATCATCAAGCAAGCGTGGCATAGGCAGAGATTGAGAGGCCTGCAGAAGCCCAGAAACTGCTGGCCTTCAGGGTGAGGGTCAGGAGACTTTGGCTATGTAAATTGCAAACCGACAGGTGTAGCCATACCTCTGTGGTCCAGAAGGCCCTGGGCAGTGAGAGAACTGCATAGTAATGTATCCATCTGGATTCTGGGGACCAAAAGGACAGAGCCACCTGGTTCCCTGAGAAAGCCTGGCCTCTGACTCTCCATCCTCCCCCAGAACATACTGGTCATATGGGGCCCTCAGGCTGCCTCCGTGCTGCCCTTCTCACAGCCTGTCAGTGACCAGCAGGTGGCCACTCCCGCAAGTGCCTTCTACTGCTCTTTCCTTTCCAGCACTGTCATCTGGACTGTCTCCAAACCTGCTGACCAGTGGCTGATCTCTGACCTGACCACCTCTGTCCATTCTGTGCCCTGCCTGGCACCTTGCAAGGCTAATGCCAGTAGCGTAAGAATGGTGTTCTTAAATTCTAAAGGTTAAAATCACCTGGACAGTTTTAAAAAGCAGAATCTAGGCTCCCATCCCCCATATCAGCTGATGTAGTAACTTAGTCACTACTAATTTGAAGGGTAAAATACAAAACTCATTAGAGCAGAGAAATCCTTACAGAGGAACAAATTCGCCACCAGTCGACCACAAGTTAGGCCACTGTATCTGCCACAAGTCCCAGAGAACACTCTTGCACCCTGATCCCTGAGTCCTTTCTGCTTGGGTGCCTCTCTGCCCACACTGCCTTATTTAACTCCGTGTTGCAAATTGACTGTTATGTGCAGTTACGTTTGTCAAGTAAAGTTGTCCCCAAGTCTTACCTCCTCATCCTCATTAGGGTATCATGCAAATAACTTTCAGGACCAAGTTCTGCCAGACGTAAATAATGCTAATTAACTAAACACATCTCAGCAAACAAACATAAGACCATTCCTACACCTCTTCGAGATGGATCAAGTCTAGTGTTCTGCCTTTTTAAGTAATACGACAATCATTTTGTACCAAAAGTACTCCAAATACAGAAACACACCAGTATTCTGGAAACTGGAGAACTTGAGACTTACAGTAGAATTAGCAACCAGAATCCTAACCCATGTGTTTAGAAAACACAGTTTAGACACCATTCTAAGACAGCAAGTTACATCTTACTATGGAGAGATAGGAAATGGCTCCTGATGTTAGTCAGTGCATACTGAATTCATATATATTAAGTACCTCTAGTTTCATCAACAAAAGACCATTTCTATCATTCATCGTAATTTAGAAACCGGTAATTTTCTCAAGTGAGAAGTCATCTTTAGCATTTATCATCCAAATAAGCTTCTGATTTCCCTTAGGATTAGGAATCTGGAATTGAAGGTATGATGAGATCTTTCTGATTTGATGACCAGAAATGTACATTTCAACTGCACTTAGAATTCAGTGTAAATAAGCACATTATATGTATCCACTAGATACTTTAGATTCTAACAACATGACTTGCTCCATAGTTTTACAGACAGCCCTGGAATCATTCCTGCTGTGTGAAGTCTTCCGAAGTCTTCTGTGAAGAAGACTGGGTTGGCTTCTCCACACTGGTGTGTCACTGGCAGCACTGGCTAATGTGTTGTCATCGCATTTGTCTCTCCACACCATTGCCTGTGAGCTCCTTGGATACTGGGATTCTTTAACTGAATAACCTGTTGCTGGATTCAGAGCAGATTCTCAACAAACGTGATAGACACTGAAGGCGTGGATAAACGCGTGAATACCACATCCTCCAGTAAACATCAGAATTACCTGGGGCAATCAGTGACCTCCCTTCTGGCTGTCCCCAGCACACTACAGCCCCACATTGTCTTCCCACCTACTCTAGAGCCGTGTGCCCCGGTGACTACTCAACAGTGCTTTCGTGTTTTGTTGTGTTTTGTTGTTTTTCTTTTCAGAAAAACATCAATAATAGCAAATCCCAATAAACAGCTCAGATTATGTTTCAGATAGGATCTCACATTTTTCCCCAAGATTGGATTGGCCTCAGACTGTGATCCTCCTACTTAAACCTCTTGAGACTAAGTAGTGTGTGTGTGTGTGTGTGTGTGTGTGTGTGTGTAAGCCCCAGTCCTGGGGCTTGAACTCAGAGTCTAAGTGCTACCCCTCACCTTTTTTTGCTCTAGACTAGTGCTCTACTACTTGAGCCACAGGTCCACTTCTGGCTTTTTTTGGTACTTAATTGGAGATAAGAGTCTTAAAGATATCTATCCTGCCTAGGATAGATTCAAGCCACAATCCTCAGATATCAGCCTCCTGAGTGGCTAGGATTACAAGTGTGAGATACAGATGCCGGGCTGAGACTTAGTAATTTTTGAACAACAAAACTGTATTACAATAATATTACTCTATAGTCTGGGACATCCGAGGTCCAGGTACCAAGGGGTTTTGGCCAGTGAGGGCCCATTCTTCACAGATGTCACCTTTTATGTCTTTACATAATGGAAGAAGCAGATATGTCCCTTGGTCTTCTACATAAAGACACTAATCCCATTTATGAGTGCTCTAACCCCCACACCACCACCTCTTAGATATTAAGTTGGAATGTATGATATGGGTAAGATGAAAACATTATCATTGGTTATATCTTTTCTGTTGTGTGACAGCTTAACTTCAGGGATTTCTTCTTCTTGGCATCCTGGGCATATAACAAAGAGTGTATTGTCACTGTCATTTATATATCTTTCTCCCTGGACTGTTAATTCTACATGCTAGGTCTTTCTTCACCCTTCATAAGTGTCACAACAAGCACTCTAGGACATGAGCTAACAGTAAAAAAGCATAACAATTTTGTACATCGAAGGATAATGCAAAGTGTGGCATGAGTGGCTCACACATGTAATCCTAACCACTCAGGAGGCTGAGATCTGAAGATTATGGTTTGAAGCTAGCCTGAGAAGAAAAGTCCCTGAGACTCTTATCTCCAATTAACCAGCAAGATAGCCAGAGGCAGAAGTGTGTGATTTAAGTGGTAGAATAAAAGCCTTGAGTGAAAAAGCTGGAGAATAGTACCCAGGTGCGCGCGCGCGCGTGTGCGCACGCGCACACACACACACACACACACACACACACCATTTTAATGTGGCACAGGAGTCTCCAGAATGCAAGACCCAGGATAAATTGTCCATTTTGATGGATGCTTAGTTCTGTTGAAGGCTTAACAACCATGTACAAATGTGTGTGGATGAACTGAATCTGAGACAGTGCGACAGACTGAGGATAATTTGATTCTTCTTGACTTTTCAGCTGCTGTGTTTCTTCTTAGGTACAAAGCAGAATGTGAGCGTTCTATGATCTACTATCAGACCAAGTACACCAGAGAATTTCTTTTATGGCCAGCCCTTCATAGAAAGCCAGTAGAAGATGAGAGTTATAATTTTAGACTTTATAGCTTTGGGGAAAAGGGTTCTAGTTTCTACTACCCACCTAGGGGAAGAAGAATTCTGGTTTCTATGACTCACTGCATGAGGGGAAAGAGAGGTGAGAGGGGAGGTCCAATGATCTGAAAGACCTTGGCTCTGAGGCTGCTTCCAAGACCTTCCAGAGTGCTTTAGTCAGACTATGGAGCATATTGAAGCACCATACTTGGGGTAACATTTTCTGAGCCCCAACAAGTAAGTATATGCACAGATCCACATGGGCCCTGGAGGCTTGGGTTTGCATACCTGTTTCTACACATACCAGCTCTGAGGTCTTGGGCAAGTAATTGAACCTTTCCCAGGCTTGTTCGGCTATACAGTAGACTGAAGTCCTTGAGAAGTTCACATGATTTGTAGATCACAAGAAGAGCCTCATAACTGCAGGGTTACCACCAAACAACCAATCATCAGGTACTACTAATTCTGTTGCTTTTAGGACTTGGCCAAATCTCACAGGAAAGTCGGTATTTTGTTTTGTTTTGTTTTTTAAGTGAAATCCATGCTCTCCTTGGGAAAGGCTGAGCCAGCGGCCTGCCACCTCTACATGTACACATAAATTTCGCCTCTGTTTAGCATCTAGAAGCTAAAAAAGACTTCGGTTTTGTTATTTTTTTAATTATTTTTAATTAAACCTATCAGTTAGTTAGTTAGTTTAAGAAGCCATTGAAGGCAATTGAGAAAGCCATCTTGGCACAGGCCCTTCCCTGATTGATTATTCTTTTATGGACAAACGAAATGTTTGCTTCTAGAGCTAAATAGGCTAGTAGGGATCATAAGCTCTGATCATAAGCTTAGACACCTGTTAGTCAACTTTCTATCATAGTGATAAAAGAGCTAAGAAAAAGAACTTTAAAAGGAAGAAAAATTTGAGAAAGCTCCAGAGATTTCAGTCCATAGTTGGTTGTTTCTATCCCTTGGGACCTGTGATGAGGAAGACGATCATGGAATACCATGGTGGAAGTGCATGGGGCAACAAAACTGCACACCACATTGCAGAAAGCAAGAGAAGAGACTGAGATCCCAATATTTTCTCCAAGGGCACCACTCTCCCCACCCCATCCCCTCCACAGCCCCCCCACCCCCTGTCTCCATGACCAAACATCTACTCCACCAGGCCCCACCTCCTACAGGATTCTCCACCCCTACCAGTACCATCAGATGAGAACCAAGCCTTCAATAC